GTTGCCACAACGGTCGACTCGACGCTACAGCAAGCGATCGTTAATGCCGGCTGGGCGCTGTACGATTTCATGCAACAGTTTCAGGCGGTCGAAAATCGCACGACCGTATCTCTGGACAACTCCATGCGGGAACTTGGTGCCAGGCGCATAGACCTTGAGCACGCTATCCTTGAACAATCCAGCGCGCTGCGAAATCTTGAATCCGAGTTCGGTCCTGACTTCCAGGGAATCGGCGGACCCAGAGCAGCCTTAGAGCAAAATCTTGCTGGCCTGCGCGAGGAGCTTGCTGCGGTTGCCAATGAAGAACGGGCCATCCTCGACGTGCTCAACAGTCGCACACCAGTTCAGCCACCAAGGCCACAGATCACAGTCCCGGGCACCGGCGGTAGCGGTGGCGGCGGTGCGTCCGAAATCACGGCGCAACGTGACGCCGTGGCCGATCTTATCTCCCAACTCAAGGCAGAACGCGCCGCGCTCGGCATGTCGAATGTCGAGCGAGAGATTGCCAACGCACTACGGCAAGCCGGTGTGACCGCAACCGACGCCGAAAAGCAGCAAATTATTGGGTTGGTGACGGCCATATCGGCGGAAACCGCAGCGATCGAAAAAACGCAACAAGCGATGGAGGAACTGCAAGGGGCTGCTGAGCAGGCAATGGGGACCATTGTCCAGGGGCTTATTGACGGGAAAAGTGTGGGTGAGATTTTCGCAGATGTTTTAGCAAATCTCGCGTCGCAGCTCCTGAACTTGGGTATCCCAAGTCTAGCCGGAGCGATATTTCCAGGTTCTGGCTCCTTATTGCCGTTCGCAAATGGCGGCTACGTCTCCGGCCCTGGTACAGGGCGTTCGGACAGCATACCGGCCCGGCTATCGAATGGCGAGTTCGTCGTCAATGCTCGAGCAACGCGAGATAATCGCAGTCTGCTCGAGTCGATAAATAGGGGAAAACTGCCCAGGTTCGCGGACGGTGGCTTGGTCGGGATGAAAATTGCCGCACCGCGCGCCCCTCAGTTGCCCCCACTATCCAGTGCGAATGCGCCTGTAACGGTCTCGATACCGGTAACGATTGACGCCACAGGTGCCGACGCGGCGGCGGTCGCCCGCATTCATCAAAGCGTGCAGCAGCTTAAGGCCGAGTTGCCAAATCGCATCATCCACACATTCAAAAGACGAGGAAAGGACTGGTGGTGATTTGGGCAAATGCGCACCATGGTTCGCAATGTCGCAGTCATGTCGCACGGATGCGCCGCCGACCAAAAAGGCGATATGCCGGGGGCCGATCCCGAAGCCTACTGGGTTGGGGCGCACCTTGATTTCGCGGTGGTCGAGGCAGACGACGTGAAGATCGAGCGCATTCACGAATGGCCGGATGAAATCTTTAAGGCTATCGCGCGTTAGAAACCCTGCACATGTGCAGCATTTGCCGCCGTCCTTGAGATCGGAAACATGTTTCCGCTTTGCCGCCAGCCCGTGGACATCTCTCAAATCGTGCACATATGCACGATTTGCAAGCTACTCAGTTCGAAAGTGCTTTTTCGACAAGACGCCTGATCGCTTCGGAGCGGTTCGGCAGATCGGGCTGGGCACGACGCCAAGCATCTACAGATGCAATCTGCTCATCAGTGAAGCCGATCAACACCTTGTTCGTGTAAGTCAGCGGCTTGGCCAAAACAAATATCCCGATATGCGTTATTGACAATCCCGATATAAAGCATATCCTTATTATCGAACTGGCGCAAGGTGGCTGCCTTGCGCCAGTTCTAACCGCAACCGATCTTAAGGGGATCGATCATGGCTAACGTGATGCCTATCACGCGGCGTGCGCCTGCGCACGTCCCGGCACAAAATTACTCCCGCACCGATATCGAAAACCTCATCGCGCATCTGATTGATCTGCTCGATGACATGGATGGCGATCCAGACCTGGAGTGCGCCGACCGCGAGCCCGGTGGCGATGACGAACCAAGCCTGGGCTGGATCGCTGGAGCGTTCGGCTCGATCTCGCTTGGTAGCACCGATGATCTGGAGGTCGATCATGACTTCTTTTGATCCTACGCGCCGCCGCGCCTTGGGTGCGCTTGCCGCCTCGCCGGTCGCCCTGACGCTGCCCGCTGAAGCCGCGCCGCCGATGACTCCGCAAGAGCGCCTAGAACACTATTTCGAGGGTATGGCCAATGCGATGGCCGATATGGCATTCGGAAAATGGGAGGTTCGTGTTGTCAGCGGCAACTCAGCCCAAGGCCTATGTTTGCGCCAGATCGGCAACCCGCAACGCGAGGCCATGCATCACCTAGAGATGGCACTGCGGGCGCTGGAGGATTGGACGCCGGGACGCTGGCGCATGAACACGAATTTTGATCATGCGTTCGCGCTGATCATCCGCAATGATGGGCCGTTAAGGGCCGACGATGTGACCGGCACCACGGCCTACGCGGACTGGGAACGATCAAAGATTTCGAGTTGACCTAAAACATAGATTCAAGGTAACAAACCTTAACGACAATTTTTAGGTACGAATCATGACCGACCTCAGAACCCCTAAATATGCTTTGTCCGATGTGGCAGAAGCGACCGGAGTGCTTGTGGGCACCATTCGCGGCTGGGCGCAGCGCAAAGAGCTAACCTTTGGTGATGGCGACATTGCCACAGTCGTGCCCGGCAGCACACGCCGCGTCACTGGACACACCGTGCTTGCCGTGGCCGTTGCCAGCGCCTTGATGCACAGCGATCATCGCGAGGCGGCGTTTCTGGCCGCCAAGGCATTTGCCTACGCTGGCGGCGAAGGTCGGGACGTGGGTCACCCTTTCAAGGCGGGCACCACCTATGTGGCAGCGACAGCCGATGGCGGCTTTCTCATCACAAACGACTTTGACCACGTGCGGGCGTTCGTTGCCAGCGCCAATGGCCACGCCGTGACAGTGGTTGACGCCGAGGCAATCTGGCATCGCGTGACGGCCAAACTCGACACCATCTATTAGAATTCCATCAGGGGAGAACGACTGCCGCGCGGCGCGGCGGAACGGGTTGCAACCGCCACCGGGCCCTGATGGTCGGGAACTCTACCCGGTGGCGGACGCCGCAAAGTTTCAAGGATGACCAGCCATGCCCAGAGCAGCGCAGACATTCAAGCAGGCCGATCTCACCCGCGTTTACAAGGGTATCGCGGCGGCTGGCATTGCGCCGGAGCAGGTCGAAGTGGTGATCACACCTACCGGCATTTTGGTTCGTCCCTTTGTTCGCCCAGTCGAAGCCGACAGGGATGAGAACCCTTGGGATGAGGTGCTGTCGTGAAGCGCACGGCCCTACCCAAATACGTCACGCGGTTTGTCGATCGGCACGGCAAGCCGCGCTATCGCTTTCGTAAGAAAGGCCAAACCCCTCGATATATTCAAGCCGAATTTGGCAGCGCCGAATTCGATGCAGAGTATGATGCTTGCCTTCGGGGCGAGGCTGCACCCAAGATCGAAGTTGGCAAGGGCCGGATCAAGCCCGGCACCATTGCCGATCTGATTCGGCGATACTACGCGGCTCCGGAATTCATGGGGCTGGCCGACAGCACCAAATCGACCTACCGAAACCAACTGGACCGCTTCCGCGAGCAGCACGGCACCAAGCCTGCGCGCCTCATCGAGCGCCGTCATATCAAGGCGATCATCGGTGGAATGGCAGACAGGCCGGGAGCGGCAAACAGCCTGCTCGCGCGTATCAAGCTCCTGATGAAATTCGCTATCGAGGAAGGCATGCGCCGCGACAATCCCGCGTTAGGTGTGCGGGGCTTCAAGGCCAAGGGCGACGGCTTCCACTCCTGGACAGACGATGAAATTTCCAAGTTCGAAGCAACTCACGCCACTGGCTCCAGGGCGCGCCTGGCCATGGCGCTGCTGCTCTACACCGGCCAGCGGCGCTCTGACGTCATCCGCATGGGTCATCAGCATGTGAGTAAGGGGCGAATTCAGGTGCGCCAGCAAAAGACTGGGGCGGGACTTTGGATACCGATCCACCCCGATCTGGTGGCGATCATCGCCGCCACGCCTCGGACCAACCTCACATTCGTCACCACAGCGCAGGGTAAGCCGTTCAGTGCGGCAGGCTTTGGCAACTGGTTTCGCGAGTGCTGCGACGACGCGGGCTTGCCCCAGTGCAGCGCTCATGGGCTGCGGAAGGCGGCGGCGCGCCGACTCGCTGAGGCAGGCTGCTCCAATCAGCAGATCAAATCCATCACCGGCCATCAGACAGAGGCGGAAGTTGCACGCTACACGCGCGCCGCTGAGCAAGAAGTTCTGGCCAAGCAGGCGATGCGGGCGCTCTCAAGAGGGCGCAAAAAGGGAACAACCGTGTCTAACCAAACTAAAAAGGTTAGACAAAATGACCGCTAAGAGGTTGAAAATGTTTAATAATACAATGGGAATGGCGGAGAGGAAGGGATTCGAAC